GTCTGGCTGGTCCGTCCCGCTCCTCTGGCTGGTCCGAACTACTGATGAGGTCATAGCGAGGTGCTCAGGGTGTCCAATAGCTACAGAAGCTTCTCTGCACCGCTGTCGGTTTCATTTCTTCGGACTCATTGATTGGCGGCGGCAGCGGGTCGCTCGGATTCCTCCGTAATACATCGTTTCACAGAAGCCGTCTGGGTTCCCGGTATCGAGCGACGGCCGCTGACTGCAGGAGTGGCGGCGTCTGCTGGCCGGCCGGCCGACCGTCTCGGCTCGCTCGCTCGGCCGGCCGGCCGTTCCCGAGTGCAGCGCGCCGCTGGCGGCGGTTGCCGCGCTCCTCCCTTCCTCCATAAACCACTGGCCGGCAGCCCATCTGCATACTGCGCGGTGCGGCGCGCCCGGCTCGCTGCCGCGCCGGTCGACCGGCCCGGTCACGACCTGGACCGGCCGACGGCACCGACAGGTCGCTGGCCGTCCACCGACAGCTCCGGCAGATGCCAGCAAAAATAAGCCGCGTTGGGTCAGTGTTATCGTGTGATCGGCTTGCATACAATCCCCGGCACAGGACAGGCAGGTCGGTCACCTATCGTCGTTTAGATCGGACGACACACACGCCGGAAACACTTTCAATTCCGTCGCCACGGTAAGTCCATGAGCACGGCGGATTCTGAGGACGGCACGCCGCCGGACGGCGGGCACGCCGCGTGGTAACCGGCGGCCCATTGTACGGTCTGTAGCGGGCTGCCTGTGGACCGCGGTAGCGACCACCGCCCCCGACGCTCCCGCGGGTCACACCGCGTGCCGTGCAGGGGCGGCATTTCCGCGGCTCATCGGATGCCCCCCGCGCCTCCCCCGGCCGGCCGGGCGCACCGAATAGCCGCAATAAATATGCTTCTCGGCATGGTGTCTGGTTCAAGGCTGCAGCGCCTTGCAATCAAGGCAATTATGCGGCGACCGTCGGCGTTCGGCGGCGCTGCGGCCGGCCGGTGGAGCGGCAGACTGAGCAGGGGTGCAGGGACGAGCCCCGGCGGTCTAGTGCCACACCAGACGGGGCACAGACCGACGGACGGGGGCCCGGTGTCGAGCGGCGGCCGGTGGGCGGCGGCCGCTGGAATGTGTGACCGGTTTGTCGCCGCCACCCGTCGTCGTCTGTCCGCCCAGCGCCTGCCGGCCGTGTGTCATACCCACTCAGCGCGGCGCTGCAGACAGCGGCACGGCTCAACACTGCGCCCCTTGACCTCGCAACGACCGCCGTGTCCGAGCAGTGACACATCCGTACTGCTGATTACACGCCTGAGAATGTGCCGGCAATCCGCCGACATTACTGCGACAGCCCCTCTTGAGCGGCGTGACCGCGGCCCGGCGGGTAACAATACCCCGCTGAGACGCTACCGCGCCCGTACAAAGGAGCCAGCAGCGGCGACCAGAGCTGACCTCGCCTGTGCAGGCCCGGGCCGCCGCCGGAAACGGTGAAAGGCTGACTAACGAGGCACGAGCGCTCGCCATCACACCAACCGCTGCCGGACGGGGCTGGCAGAGGGTGAGACTGCGACATGATACAGCAGGGCCGCTGGAGACTGCACTGCGGCACAGGGGGCTAACCAGGGACTGCGCTGTGACATAGGGGGCTATCCAGAGACTGCGCTGTGACAGGGTAACCGGAGACTGCACTGTGACATAGGGGGCTATCCCGAGACTGCGCTGTGACATAGGGTAACTGGAGACTGCACTGCGGCATAGGGGGCTATCCAGAGACTGCATCGCTGCATAAGAAGCTAGCCAGAGACTGCGTCGCAACATAAGAAACTAACCAGATACTACAATATGGTACAGAAGGGTAGCCAGGGACTGCACTGCGACATATCAGCCTAGCCACCAGGGTGCTTCGCAGGCTGGCAGGCTTGCAGTGACGGTAACTGAAAACCGCAATGCAGCAGCACCCGTGAGTATGCAGTTGCTCCTACTGCGTGCCGGCACCGTCCGAACTTCGTGAACTCTACGGGAAAACTCCCAAACTGGCTGGCATCAGCTTACAGTGCAATTCGTAAATTAAAAGTGTAAAATACGTTGAAAGCTTCGTGTCTGACGAGCCCCCTTTTCCGCCCTTTGGTGGGAAATATGCTAACAAGCAGCGACAAATGAGGAACTGAACAGACTGCACTGCTCAAACCGTCAATGTCCATCAGCACCGTTTTGATTAAGCTGAACGCTAGTAGCAAGGCCCTAAACACAACGTCAGCATAAATGGATGTAACGGTGATGACATTATTTATGCGCTACAACTGGTCATTTTCCAATTAACCTAGCGTAGTGGCAATTATTTGTGGTAAGTAAGGAATAATTTGAGACACTCAAATGCATCAGGAGTGCGCTAAACACCGATGTGTCTTCGGCACGGTGACCTAATCAAAAGTCCGCGGGTGTGGCCGGCGCTGGGATGCGGCCGAGCTAACGGATCCGACGCCCGGCGCCGCGACGGACTGCGCAATCGGCAGACATTGCATGTCCTGTCAGCGGACCCGGCTAACCTCCCCAGGTCCACTCGTGGGGAGGGGTAGAGCCGGAGCATTAGCGGTCACTGATGACGTTGATTGTTGAGTTCCGACGCCCGCTGACGTTAGCCGCTCCTAATAATCGGTCATAGCGAGGGATAGAGGAGTGGTATGAGTGATTGGACAGACCACGACTGGTCAGTCGGGTGGGTAGCTCCAGCCTAAGGCACATCAACATACCACACGATCTGACAGGAACCTTCCGAGGCTATTACCAGTTTACCACTATGTAACAAAAGAGCTTATGCAAAGAAACAAATCCAAAGCATGCGATTTTCTGAAAACTTCCGCGACTTTCAGCATTGTCTGATAATCCGACTGAAAGCATTCCGCAGAGACCGCAGACACGCGAGCACTGCCGGCTCCGTGAGGGGGGGGGGCGGTCAGGTCCGAGAGCTCGCCGTTCCAGGATTCGGACAGGGCCCGGCCGACAGTCCGGCCCCCGGACCATACACGGGAGAGAGGGGCAGAGCCGGGAGCGACAGAGGAGAGGAGAGCTGAGAGAACAATGGCCCGCCGTCTGAGGGAAAAACAATGCCGTCGCACTGTCGATTAATTGAACGGAAATGCCGACTCCATTGTGAGCCGGCGCACTAACAAGCCTGTCGATCGCAGCGCTCAGTCACCTGGCCCCTGGGGTTCGGACGCCGGACGCCGGATTCCGTTCCTGTCCCCAGTGTAAGTTCTTGTCCGAGGAGTCTTCCCCCCCCCCCTCCAAAGTCGTTGGTTCGACGCTTGGGGTCAGGCTGAGTCCAGTCCGTCCAGACTCAGGAACGAAGTCTGATATCCGAAGTCTATTCAACTCCCTCAAGTTTTGACCGATCCCATCAGCGAGCACAGTGCGGACTCGAGTTTAAGCTGCCGGAGCTGGCGCTATGACTCGACCAGATTCCAGCCCGGCTCGGAGGCGTCACCCTGAGACTGGCAGAGGCATGCCGCCTAATCCATCCGAGCCGTCTTGGTCGATAAGAAGATTGGGCGTCTCTGTGCCCCATCACCATATCAAGGAACGCGGCTGGGCCATGATGCACAGTTCTCTAGCTTCCCTCTTACAGCTGAGACGATCCAGGTCATCTCAGCGCACTACTCTGGCATTGGTAGAGCAGGCTGAATCGTCTCTCCTGCACCAGCCGGCGGCTAGCGCAGGGAGCCGCGGGCCGCCAGTCTCAGTACCAGACAGCCTTGAGTCTCGCGGCGGGCGGCGGCCGACCAGACTCAGCGCGGCCGGCCAACCGACCCGGCCCGGCTGCCAGCCGGCCCAGGCACCGCTTTTTGCGGTTACAGCGACAGCCGGCGCTTTTTAGTGCTGTTGTTGATATGTATTCAGATGTCCTGCATAAACGGTGCAAAAACACGCGGCTCCGCTCGGTGGCCAGTTATGGGCAGAACGCTCAGCGCGAGAGCCGGCCTAGGCGCCTGGGGCGGGGCGGAGTGGCTGTCACCGACCGGAACGGCATTCCGACGGTGACCTGACCTGCGTCGGGCGCTACACGCTACCGACAGTCACACGGCTAACACACTGTGAGCCGGCGACCTGACCCGCCGGTGGCTACCACACGCTACTGACGGTCACACGGCGAATAGGCTATGCCTCGGCAAAGCGTAGCCGGTAGTCTGACACGCCAGGGACCACTCTGTCAGTCAGACATACCGAGCGCTGCTCTGGCGTCGGCCGCAGCCGACCGGCCACCCAGACACGACCGGTATTCTGTTCATGTCTGTGTAAGGCACACGGGCAACATACGCCGCTTTCAACAACCGGGCTCCGAGCCGCCGGGCCATGTTATCGACAATTTGTCGGGTGACACGTGTAGCCGGCCATTACTTCGGCGCGACAATGCCTGTTTTTGCCATAGGCGGTGGCTGGCGTGCGGTGCACGGCCGATGCAAGGCTGCGGCCCAGCGCCACCATGCGTCAAACATGTCATGTCGGCGGCCTGTTGGTGACATGGCCAAGTGAGTAGACAGCTACGGCGACGCAGTCTTTTTTTGCGGGTGACAGATGCGACGGCTGGACGTTTGGAAAAGTCCTTAGCGATGCAGTTGGTAGAGACAGTGCGTGAGCCATACCATAGCATGTCGTGCCGTCCCGGCCCGAAGTTGGGACTGCCGTGCCGTGTTGTACTCTGTCTGGAGCGGGTCGGGGCGGTCACTGGCTACTGTGACCAGGTCGATGGGAACGGGGCGGTCCGGAACAAATAGGTGTCACGGAGGCCGGGGCAGGCAGAACCAACCGGCGACGTATAGCACTTGACGAAGACGTGTAAACAGGCTCTAAACACGGTACTTATGAGCTATGAATGGTACGAAGGAATTTCCGATATAATCAAACAGGACCATCGCTAAATGCATGCAATATCGAGCCATGTCCAAACCCAATCGTCATGCAGACGTTACTAATGCGACATTAGCCCGAAATAGCAGCGGCGCTCAGGGCCGTTGGGTACTCACCACTATCCGTAGCGGCCACGACGAGTCGGTACTCTGCCCGCGCCTCGCGATCGAGCGCCGCGTGAACACTCAGCTCGCCACTCCTCGGGTCGATCTGGAAGATGGCCCGGTTGCCCTCCTTGATGCTGTACGTGATGGCGTTGTAGGGCGCTTCGTCAGCGTCGTGAGCGACGACCGTCGTCAGTGGCGCAGGCAGTTCCTCGACGTTTTCCATGATGAATACCAAGTAAGGCGCGTCACGGAACACCGGAGCATTGTCATTGATGTCTGTGACACTGACGGTGGCCGTAGCAGTGTCATAACGCACACCGGTACCCGCAGAGTCGTCCGCCTGGATCGTCAGGAAGTACATGCTCTTGCGCTCGAAGTTGAGCTCCTTGGCGACTCGCACGATGCCGGTATCCTGACCGATGGCGAAGTCGTGGTTCGGGTCGCCCTCGATGATGCTGTAGCGTACGCGGCCGTTCAGACCAGCGTCCGCATCAGTAGCGGAGCACCTCGTCACCTCGGTACCAATAGTCGTGTTCTCCGGCACACTAGCGCTGTACTGGTCCGGCGCAAAGATGGGCGCGTTGTCGTTCTCATCATCGACTCGCAGCAGTAGTCTCATCTGGGCCGTGTTGGGCGGCTGACCGCGGTCCCGAGCCGTCACCAGAAGGGTGTAGTTGGCCCGCACCTCGCGGTCCAGCGGGCCGGCCACGCGCAGCAGGCCGTCGATCTCTCCCAGAGTGAACGGACCGGCTGACGGGTCCGCCAGTGCGTACTCCACGTAGCTATTGCGGCCCTCGTCAGTATCGAGTGCCTTGACGGCCATGACGACGGTGTTGATGGGGACGTTCTCGGCGACTGAGGTCTCGTTCGGGGAGACGAACTGCGGTTCCACGTCGTTCACGTCTTCAACCACGATCGAGACCTGTCGACAGCGTCACACAGCGTCACATCACGTCACACGGCATCACGCAGCGTCATTCGGCGTCACCGTGTCTCCCAGCGTCACAAAGCGTAGCGGACAGCGGTCAGTGGACAGCGTATCGTAACGGACAGCGTCACAGGGCGTTACCAAATCGTAACGGTCAACGGACAGCATCACAGGACGTTACTCCATCCTAACGGTCAGCAACAGCGTCACGGCGAATCACATCCACACAGCCACACAAAAATTACCACAGCGAAACGATCGCGTGAGCTGGCGTGCCTCCAGCATCACTACATCTCCCGTCTCGCCCGGATATACCGTCTGGGACGCGGCACTCTGTCACCATTGAAATGGCTCCGTGTCGCGCCGCGGCGTCACGGCTCTCGACCAAATCAGTCCGGTCACGGTGCCACCGTTATCTCGCGAAAATGAGCGCGCTGGCTGCGCAGTCTCAGAGACAGAGCGAGTCAGTGGGCGCGGCCGCACCATCGACCAGAGGGCGACGCTCTCCTCTATCATGCGCTAATAATAGCAGCGGCTGTCATAGGGGCGATGCCATCGAGCACGCGGAGGAGGTCCGGTCGGCCGGCCGAGATAGAGCTGCCATAAATCGCTATCGGCGGCTGGCCTGGCGTCGGAGCGAGGTTCGAGTCGAGAATACGGGTGGCGAGCGATGGGAGGCGCGGCCCCCAGGCTGGTGTGGTGTCTGAGGGGCCACCGATCGACAGGGGGAGATATCTGTCAGATACCCCGCCCAGTCCTCTATATCCAGACGGGGGTCATCGGCCGCTCAGCAGCGTGCCATGAGCTTGCGAGTGCCTACCAACAGGACCTGCAGACGAATCGGACGGACGATATCGGAAACAGTAACCGGTGGGACGGCAGGCCTTACTTCAAGTGCCGCCGTGACCTGAACTGCTGAACGCAAACTCTTTCCACCCCGCCTCTTTTCCTCCAAGCACTCTTTCGACCGCCTGTCTATCAGAGGCCGTGAGACTACTCTGCGAGACCCTGAAGACGACTCCGAGGAGGCTGTAACTGCCTCCGGCCTACGACAGCACCGGACTTTAACGGCCGTCAGTGGAGCGGTAACGAGGGGCGCGGGGCCGGTGCCGCGCCGCGTCGAGAGAGGACACTTTTACTGCCGACTCAGAGCGGCGCCTGGGACGGGTTGTAACCATGGACCGGCCGACAGCGGCCGACAGAGATAATGGGCACCGGTTATCATTAGACGGCTGAACTTCACATGTCGATGTTCTGATGAGTGTTATCAGGACGAACGAGGGGAAGCTAGACAGAGGATGGCTACAAGCGGAACGACAGGTGCCCCATAAACGATAGAAAAGGGCCAGTGCCTAGATGTTAACTTAACCACATGCCGTTTCTACGGCCCATACCGTAATACAAATATGGTAAGGCGCGTATAAGTTCGTGCTACACTTCTCAGAAAACTTATGCATGCGTTTCATGTTACGACTCTGTGAAATTTTAGCCAGTTTACGAGCTGAAACCAGTTGGTCGGCAGGCGAGGGGCCCGATAAACCGACCATCCGAATGGGCCGCTCACCAGTATCTGTCTGCATCAAATGCGCCGGACGACTGACACCAGACGGGGTCTCGGCGCCGCGGCATCGCCGCTGTCCCGTCACTAACGACCAGCGCGCGGCCGGCGGCGCGAGAGAGTCCCCGCTCCTCGCCGCCGTGCATACCAAGTGACCCACTCCGACCAGCGTGACACCGGAGCGAGCCGCGAGCGAGCCGTGGGCGAGCACTGAGCGTGTCACCTGTGCCGCTCACGTGTCGCGACCGCGGGAATGGGACCGACAACAGGTCAGCAGGACGACCCGGCGACCCGGCAACGGGAGACAATCCGAGACGGAACGCACAGCAACAGTCTACCGTCATGGCATGGTGACAGGGGGCGTCGGGAGGCCGACCGCCGCCGATGTTCCCAGCTCCGCAGTTCCCACGTGCAGGCGGAGCGACACGTGCAGCTTCTGAGAAGCTCCTGACACGTGTCTGCCGCCATACACGGCCGACGTTCGTTGTTGACTGTTATGCATGCGATGCATCATGCTGATGGGATGGAACAGTTACTCGTATGCATGGCATTGATCATCGGCAACCGGTGGCCGCGTGGACGTGACGACGGCAACACACCTGGACGGTCTCACGTGACCGCATGACGTCATGTCTCGCCGCGTTCCCACCGATTGCCCATAAACCTCGACTCGTCAACACAGAGTGTCGCCACAGACCGCAGACATCACACCGACCACACACACAGAGCTCAACACAGAACATCACCAGTCACCGCATACCTCACATTGACCAACCGACCACACATCACACACAGAGCTAAATATAGACCGTCATTAGGCACCGCAGACATCATCCCGATCACTGACCACACACACAGACCGCACACAGACTGTCATCACATACCTAATACCAGCCTCACAGACACACATCAACTCGACAGCTCACAGCACCACGAAAACTCACCTGCGCCGATGACGACAGCCTCTTCTCCTTCGGCTCAGCCATATCCTCCGCCAGAACCAGCAGCTGATACGAAGCACGCTCCTCACGATCCAACGGCAGCGCCGTAAAGATGGTACCATTCGACGAGATACGGAATTGACCCGCTGGATCCCCTCCGGCGATACTGTAACGCAGCTGACCGCGTTTGCCCGAGTCCTGGTCAGTGGCACTGACGTGAAGGACCGGTGTGCCGGGCGGGACGGCCTCGCTGACCCGGTCGTGGTACGACTGCGGGTCGAACAGCGGCTCATTGTCGTTCAGGTCCAGGACGTTGATGTAGACGGTGACGGTGGAGGAGAGACTGGGCCGGCCGCGGTCCTGGGCCTGCACCGTGAAGATGTAGTGCTGCGTCTGTGGATAGAGAAGAAACGAGAGTTAATGGCTGACATTCAAATGTGACACAGGTCTGAGAGAGGACCAAATTGTGGCGGTTTGCGGGGAGTGCTATGGCGATACAGAAGTGGAAGAGAGAAAAGGGACAAGTGGGCAGCAAGTGAGTGATTGGGGCAGAGGAAATAAAAGGGGGCGAGAGAGAGAGAGAGAGAGAGAGAGAGAGAGAGAGAGAGAGAGAGAGAGAGGAGAGAGGAGGGAGAGAGGAGAGAGAGAGAGGAGAGAGAGAGAGAGAGAGAGAGAGAGAGAGAGAGAGAGAGAGAGAGAGAGAGAGAGAGAGAGAGAGAGAGAGAGAGAGAGAGAGAGAGAGAGAGAGAGAGAGAGAGAGAGAAAGAGAAACAGAGAGGGGAGAGAGTGTCTCATAAGGCTCTGACCTCCTGTTGGCAGAGCCAGGGTGCGTCAGGAGTGCACTGGGGAGCGCAGAGATCCCCCGGGGAGCGGTCAGAGGTCGTTACCTCCACCGACAGCCCGGGGACATGAGTTCACACGGTAGCAGTGACGTGTCTGGCCCAAGGACGACCAACGGAAACGGTAGTTTGGCAGTGCCGCGCCGCCGGCTGTCGGCCTGCACCCGTCTCCCCGCAGCGCTGGTCATTACACAGAGGTCATTCACGTGCTCGTTTTGTCAATTGCAAGCGGTCGTTCGCAGAAGCGTACTCACATTCCAATGGGTTTGTTATTGGCTCACTACCGGCCTCACACAAGGACGGCGCTGTCAGGTGTATTTTCCACCCAGCGTAACCTGCCCGCTACACAATTGTCCACAAATGATATACGCGCCGTTCAATTAGCATTCCGGCGCTCAGAAGACATTTTCTTTTTACTTGTTGGACCGGCGGATAATCTGGTAAACGAACACACACTGCTTATTGGCCTTTAAATGCCGGTCGTTACAGAGCTAATTTCGGTCGGTGGGTCGCAGTAACAGACGTCCGTCGCCTGTGCGGTGATCAGAGGAGACAGCGCTGCAGCGGCCGACGGCCGACGACTGTCTGTCTGTCTGTCTGTCTGTCTGTCTGTCTGTCTGTCTGTGTAGCTGTCACATTGAGCCACGCACCGGCGGGACTCTGCAGTCGGCGATCAAAGCCGACCGTGCAGAGGCGGAGGCTGACACAAATGGTCACAGACGGGCCGACAGCCGCAGCAAAGCGCACCAATCTGCATAAGCCGGAACGTAGGTATGCAGGGAGTTTTGAGAAATATTATCTCGTGGTATAAGCAGCAGTAATTTGATTCGGCGTAACTGAGCGCGCTGCATTCATACATGGCGGGGAACATTTATCAACGAATGAGAATGTTTTCTTATACAACATTCGATATCATAAGTAACATTCAAGCGAGCAATATACGACACTAAATCCCGGTCTCCTTCCAGCAGCAGAGCTATCAAAACGCTACAAAACAAAAATGCTGATACTGAGAACACACTAAAAGCTGCCTTCTCGACCGCCCCCGAACGCTGTGTCAAATGTTTGTGCAGCCTTCGTTCTATCCCAAGCACTCAGCGTCACCTCCCGGTGCCAGTCACCTCGGCTCACCAGTCACTGGCGTCGCGTCTTGCGCCCACTATCGCCTCTTCAGGAGATGACGAGCCGGCTCTCTCTCTCTCTCTCTCTCTCTCTCTCTCTCTCTCTCTCTCTCTCTCTCTCTCTCTCGCCCTCTCGCCTCATCAGCCGGGTCCGGTATGGATCGCGCGCGCCGCGCAGCTTTCCACCATGACAGGGCGGCTGCCATATGAAATTAGCCGCTCGGCTGCCATATGAATTTAGCCGCTCGGTCGGTCGGTCGGACGCCGCCATACTGATAGAAAAGCTCCGGGCGAGGCTGAGTGGCCAGGCGTGTGCTATATGAACGTAAGTCGCGGCGGCGACTCATCAGACAGTCAGAAACTCAGTCACAAGCTGTCAGAAGGACCAGGCACCAGTGATTGACTCTGGTGGATCAGTGTCCTTTCACACCCAAATACGGGGTGAGCCGCACGCGGCCGTCTGAGCTCTCTCTAATCGCCACCTTTTCACAGTCGTTCGGTGGGTCCCTGGGTGGACCCCAGTCCCTCCCCGAACGAAACCTGTGAATCCCGGCCGGTCGGCGTCCCAACCATATACAGCGCGAGGAGACCAATCGCTTTGGAGAGGAAGTAGGCCGAGCGAGCCTCCTGTTACCCGGCGGCCCTAGCGCTGTCCTCCTACCGGAGATACGCAGGAATGCGTGACGGAGAGGTGCGCGCAGTGGGCATCGCCGGTTACCGGACCAGGGCGAGCGGTCGAGGGAGGCACAGGTAAGCTGGTGTAGCAGATTGGATAGGACAACAATTGAAAAAGAATGAAGGGCATATTTAAGCATACCTAATTACATATTCTAGGACATCACGTGGGAAGCGTATTGACCACAACACCTTCATAATGGAGTTGCATCAATAATCTGCGCTGTATCTACAGACATCTCGACTTGGCAGGCTTTCGTGCAGCGCTTTACATACGAGTAAACAATCGCAGTCACAACAACATCGCGCCACTCTCGGGGGATCCCGGGTGTCGCACGTGGTAGCTTAGCATAATACCCTCCCCGTTGGATATCTGTCAGTCACCAAGTGTCCCTCGTCACGAACTGATCCTGATCCTGCGCGCCGCGCACCATTTCGTGCTGTATCCGGCCGACGGCTGATGGCTAGACTGTCGCCATTCAGTCACCAGTGGGCGGTGGCAAATTAGCGACTAGGAAATGGCGTGACTGGTCGACCAGCCCCAGATCATGGAGGCGCCTCACGAGCGGGGTAATTTAAGACGGCGACGGGGAGTTCCAACGAGCGACCATGATTCTCACATGGTTTCTTATATAGAAAAAAAAACTTCCTTTCACCAATTCTTCCTCAAGACATTTCTACCAACAGACAACTTAGATACGAAGCAAAACTAATCACACCTAGAAATGCCACCTTAGAAAGCCAGTCACCACCTCCATCCAGGCCTCTGCCGCGGGCCTGTTCGATTTCCGCTCACCACAGCGGGAGCGCGGTGCTCGCCGTAGGGAACTCGGCAGCCCAGTCACCCTCGGACATACAGCGGCCGGGCCGGTTTAATTAGCTGGCCGGCGGCGCGACCGCCGAGTCGCCGCAGCGGCCATGCACGTCTGTTTTTGTCACCGAGCGCGGACAGCGCGACAGGTGACCCCCGACAGCCGGGCTGTCGGTCCCCGTCCTCCGAGCTGTCCGTCCCCGTCCTCCAACCGACAAGTCACTCTGTCCGGCCGGCCGGCCAAGGCGCAAAAACCCGATATGCGCGGACACAAACAAGAAGGCGCCGTTATCTATTGATTATGTTTTCAATTAGTCGGCAGCGGACCACCCAATCAAACGGCCAGATCGACGCGCCGCCAGACGCGCACCTTTCGGTGGTTTTTGTGGTGCCACATCCGGGTTTCGGGGGCTGTAAATGTTCGCTGGGTATCCGCTCTCGGCAGTGTACGCAGATTTTATGGCGCGGAGGCTCCACAAACAGCCTGGCGTCGCAGCGCTAATGGCTGCACGACCGCGCCGGATAACTCCGGGGTGAGCTCGGAGCCCCGTTCCCAGCCAATTAGCCATCCTGACCTGACCTGCCGCCAGCCAGTCACTGTTCACCCGTTACAACCGGTGGTCCACAGTGGCCATGACCAATGACCATAGGGTATTGAACACATCAACGGTGGTCGAAGCTTCCGTTCTACCATCCTTGACCAATGACAGATATTGTCTCTGGTCCACTGGTGTGAGCTGGTGACTGATACGATCTCCTGCCCTTAGCGCGTCGTCCCTGACCAGTGATGGATACAGTCCCGGGTCCTTGGCCAGTGCTGGACACATCCCCAAATCCCCACCAGTGCGTGATGGATTCCCCCGGGTCTCTGACCCCTCCTGCCGATCGCCTCACACGACCTTGCGTCTCGGGTGTCACCGGGCGGGCGCGGCTGTGATCCCGGCTTTCTGTCACCCGGTCGGCCGCTCACCGGCGGCGTCCGGTGACCCCGCGGTGACCGCTGCTGTCTCCGGCCGCCCGGGCGTGCGTGCTCGACTCTGAGGCGCGCCAGTCAGCCGGCCGGACGGCCCAACAATGCCAGCGCGTTCATCACTAACTGACAGCACTGGCTGGGGACGGACGGACCGGCCCCGAGGGACGGCCGATGGACGGACGGACGGAGAATCCGGAGAAACAGGCGCTGAGAGTGACAGCCGGGGATGAGAAGAGAGAGTCTCAGCACTGGTGTGGGATCTGGGAAGGTGTAGTGTGTACTGACAAACATACAGTCACCTCCAAGTTGACTAGGTTGGTCAGGTAAAGTCGAAGATACAGCTAGAGTCGTTACTGAGTGGTTGCCCATTTGATCAGATCGAGTCACACTGTTACCAAGTTAGCAGGCCTCGCCGATGGAACCCTAACCCTGCACCATTGCTCCGCACCGACGACTGTCACCGCGAACTGCCGCTCACCATCACCGTGAGTGACTCGTGGTTCGTGACCCGCGAGTCGTGATTCGTGAGCGACTGCCGGTCGGAGACGGCCAGCGGTCTCGCGTGCCGGGGAGGTGATTAACAATCAGCCCAGCGCGCCGCCTGCTCCCACGGTGCTCCAAATGCCAAACGAGCCCCGGATTAGTGCGGAGGCAGCGCCGGCATCGGGCGCTGCCACTTCGACGGATGGGCATACTGGGAAAGCACAATGCTGCCGACGCGTGATGCCTAAGCATAGCTGTAGTAAAAAGCAGCCGCTTGCGTGCTATCCCGGCTATGGAACGGTGCTCCGTTCAGGGCCGAAGCCGGCCGTAATCAGTCTCAGGTGCAGATGTGGTGGGCATTCCGCACGATATCATGGGAGACGCTCAGCGCTCCTGACAGGGCTGCCTTCCCAGCGGCGACGGCGCCGGCCCAGGGCGGGCTCCGACCCGGGAAAGACCATCAGATAACCGGCGGTCCCAACCGTCGGAGACAGACCAAAAACCGTCGCAAAGACCGTAAAACGGCGCCCACAGCGCGCTCAGGTCACCGGCTCTCTGCCGGCCGCCTCCTCTGCTCTCTCCTCGCCAGGGCAGCGAACCCGCTGACGCCGCCCCGCCAACGCGCGGAGGTTCAACCGTGCTCTATGCGTGACCCGCAGTGCCACATGCTGCCTGGGCACTTTTTGTGACGCGCCGACCAAATTTACGTTTATTCAAGAACAATCTGGGACGCCGGGCGGGCGTTTTTGTTTACGTGGACAAATGTCTCGTAAATCAATACGCTACCGGCGGCGCTCGCTTGTTTACTTAGCCCCATGCGGCGACTCGAGTTTACGGGGGTCGTGCCGCGCCGGCCCGCATGCCTCCTGAACAGGTAAACAGGCGAGGTCAGGCGTGTCGCGCGGCCGCGGTTACAGCGAGCCGGCGGACACTCCCGGCGCACCCCGGGTCGCCAGACAGTGCCGGGAAACATCCTCATCAGAGGCGAGTCCGACACGACGCGCGTTTATCTAATAAACTTTCTCCCGAAGAGTAACTCTCGGGTGTCGGGTCGACGCCAGGCCGTCGGTTTCCCCGGATACCAGGGGTTTCCTGCTGAGCTCGGGTCGCCGCTCGGCGGCCGGCGGCGGCGGAGGGAGGCCCGGCCGTCGGAGCGGTGCTGCCGCCTGGCGGTGCAGCCGTCCAGCGCGGCACCTCTGATTTACGGCGCGCCTCACGCTGCAAACGCTGCAGAACCGGCGGACGGCCGAGCACCCCGCCGCGCCGGCCGCCGGCCACCGGCCAAATTACCGCCCCGCCTAATTCGACGCCGGCCGGGCCGGGCGGCAGCGGACGGCGGACGGCGGACGGCGCGGCTGCCGGGGCGGACCGGCCGGCCGACAAGGCCGTCGGACGCTCCCCCCGCCGCACCGACACAAAGAGAGCTGCTCGACCCGGCGAGCGCCAGACACGGCCACGTAATTAGACCGAGATACTACGCACACTCATCCCGCCCGTCGGATGTCAGACAGCGCGTGCATTAGCCCGCTGGCCTGACCTGACCCCGGCGGCACGCTCCCTCGCAGAGAGAACACATTATTTGTTCAGGCTGCAATCAAGACCACGAAGATTTGCATGACAAACTGTCGGCGGCGGCAATTTGCATAGCGGCACTGTTAGCAGTTGCCGACAACAAAGTAACCCACGTGCCAGACAACGCACGCTGTCCCTCATTCAGCGAGCTGAGAGCACCGGGTGACCGCCCGTGTAAGCCCGTTTGAGCTCAGCCGACCCTTCTCCCTGCGTCCTACAGTCAGTGAGGTGAATACATCGGGCCCAGGAGCCACTGTCTGCCCCCGAGCCGGCTGTGATCGGCCTGTCTCCACTCTGGCAGGATTCGTTTAGAGGCCCGCAGCGGCCCGCCGAGCCGGCAGCAAAAACTCGGCCAGCACGAATTTATGATGGAGGGCAGCGGCCACAAAAACACAAAAACGCCGCCCATGATCGGCTCGGCCGAGCGAGCGGGGCGTGCGTAAGCGCGCGCCGTCGGCGGCGGTCGGCCGGAACGCCGCGGGATGGCCCGGCACGGCAGCGGGTCCAGAGGGCACTTAGCGACCGCGGATGGCTCCAATTGGGGACACAGCAGGACACGCTTTTTTCGACCGAAACACTAAAAGGAACAGATCCGTTTTCCGGTCGATACTGGGGCCGGAGGAAGGTAGACCGCATAGTTTTGGTTTAACTAAGTTACTTTATTGTCGGGAACACATGAAAATATTACAAAAAAAGCGTTACATATGTATTCCTAAATGGCCGACAACACGTGAAACAAGTCTAATTTAAAGTTCCCACGGAGGGGAGACTGTGTTTCATCATCACAGCCAGTGACGCTGCCACCGTTGAACGTTATAAACGCCCCCAGACCTTCCGTCCAGACGCCCTCCCTGCACCGCTGACGTCTACTGACGTCTACCCCGGGCAACATCAGACTAGAGGCCAGTGCTGGCCAGCGGGCAGTTGCGATGGAGGGGACGCCAGCTACTGCATCCGCTCAGCACTCCACGAGAACGAGCATAGAGCTCAGAAGGTGGGGGTCTTACTGAAGGAGAAATGTGAATCAGCCTCGTTGGCATCTTCCCAGGATCGAGCATGCCGCTCATGATGATTTCCATTTCCAGTACCAGACGAGCTCAATTCCAGTTCTATGAGTTCCAGAGAAGCCGCCTCACGGACCGGCCACATCCGATTATCTCCGACCACAACCGGCCGGCCCGCACCATACTGATACTGCTCAGTACGGCTCAGAATTCAGTGGTAACCCCACTGCCGCACCATCAGCTCTCCCCGATCCCTCTCTAGCATCCTCCGTTCTCTCCATCCTATCTCTACCGCACCCTGAGCTCTCTCTCTCTCTCTCTCTCTCTCTCTCTCTCTCTCTCTCTCTCTCTCTCTCTCTCTCTCTCTCTCTCTCTCTCTCTCTCTCTCTCTCTTCTCTCTCTCTCTCTCTCTCTCTCTCTCTCTCTCTCTCTCTCTCTCTCTCTCTCTCTCTCTCTCTCTCTCTCTCTCTCTCTCTCTCTCTCTCGCACCCTGCGCTCTCTCCGTCCTCTACCGCACCCTTCGCTCTCCCCTTTATGTGTATGCTCTTGCTTTAGGCCCTCCCTCCCCTCTCATGTGTGTGCCGAATATGACACATCCGGTGGCCGCACGGTGGCCGTTCAAGCCCCGTCCACAGCCACAGCGACAGGAAGGGTGCTGTTTGCTCACCTGGCTCCCGACAGGCGCGGCTTTTTACCGCCGACGGCTAGACAAACACTGGTCGCCCAGTGACGGGCGCCACATCCCCCGCGCTGGCGTGAACCATGTCCGCTCGAAAACCCTTCGGTTTTGGCAAACAGAGGGGGGTCCTAAGTCCTTCTCCAAGCAGGAATGCAGCTAGTCCTCAGTCAAATAATGAGACCTGTCTTGATCTATGTATATGTTCCTCCATTTATCTTTTCTACCCGTTTACTTTTATCATATCTGTCTCCTTCGCTCTCCTTTCCTTCTATCGTCATGGGAGGTCGTGTTATCGCTTACGCAATATAAGGAGAACTAACGTTTGATTGGAGAGAACAACACCTACATGACCTGATCGGACACAATGGTACACGATAACCGATTCCCAACATTATCCCGTTTTATTATTGTAACTTCTATGTTCACCAGCTTCCCCAGATTTCCTACACAAGAAACCCTTGTAATACCTGGGATATTACGGCAAGCATTTAACCGTGAAATATGTTTTGAGACAGGATGCATCTTCACAAGGTATAATACACCTCAAAGCATGTGTTTAAGCACTTTTAAGTCCATTTCCTGGAAAGTAATGCCAATGGATCCTTGGCGGAAAATGCCTTGAGCTATGTCACGGCTTTCTTAAAACCACACAACCCGCTGTCATTTGAATGACTGTTCAAACCAACACAGAATTGAAAGCAGCATTTCGGAGCCGGGAAGACCTCCCTAATCGGTAGTACTCAGAAGAGCAATCCCATACTTCTGTGAAACACCGGCATACCGCCAGCCTGCGAGCGATGTTAATTGGAGAAACACGCTTTTCGTCTCCGCCCTATCTGTTAATGGTTGTAGCCTTGGCTGTGACCAGCGCGTTGACAGGAAATTCCGACACAGTTAAGTGACACCTGTCACAGTAACTCGACAAGCGTAGTTTTCTGCACTCAGTAGTTCGTTGAAGGACAGCTGCCCGACATATTGCCGCCTACGCGCTAACGCGCTTACTAACCCAGCCTTCATACTCAACTTAAGCCAACACGCTAAACTCACCTGTTCATAGTCCAACATGGACGTCAGCGTGAAGACGCCAGTGGTGGTGTCCAGGGAGAAGACGTCGTTGTCCCAGTCGGAGATGACCGTGTAGGTGACGCGTCCGTTCAGGTCCAGGTCGGAATCACGTGCCGTGACGGTTCCAACACGCGCGCCGCGAGCCGCGTCCTCCGGCACGTCGAAACTGTACGCGCTCTCGGTGAACAGCGGTGCGTTGTCGTTCGTGTCTTTCACCTGTGGGATGGGAAATACGGCGTCAGAACACACATACCCAAGACTCACCACTTTATTATAGGCAAACGAGGTTTAGCTCAACGTGACAGCCCTAACAAGGTTCGCACGCACACTGGAGACAACCAATTAGTGCGTGTCAATAGGCAGACACAGGCAGGTCGGCACAGATCAGACTAAGCGCGCCGAGATCAAATGATGTCCGGTGTTCCGGCGCGACGACGACAAGACCATTTTTGGACGCACGGAACCGGTTGTCCCAGCGCTGAATGTGACTGCAAGAGGTCTGAGTTTATCCGGAATGAATGTGAAAAGGCTAAGCCTTGTCCGAATGGCGGTGGACGAAGGCATTCTTTAGCTAACATAACGCAGTTTTGACTTTGAGCTCGCCGTTTTATCGGGCCCGATCAGAAAACAGAACAACCAAGAACGCGCACTCCAAATAGCTACCAGTCAGCCGGTAATATAATGACACGTAATGATTATCCGGCCCTTAGCGACGACAGTCCAGCGGACGGCCGACCGGCGACGCACAAAAACCCAACAAAAATGCCGCTCCGACAACACAACTGACGACGGTCAATTTGTATCTGTCTGCGATGCTTATCGGTAAAGTATGTCCTTGTCATACTTAGCTGGTTTAACAATCTGCACAAATGGGAGTGCCGTGGCGGCACAGTCGCCTCTGAGGCTCGCGACTCACGAACGCGAAAAGAACCGCCACGACTAGACCCGGAAACGGGCTCAAACGGCGCTCGTTTAAAGGGACCCTCCCACCTTAACATTAGATTTGAGTTGAGATAGCCAAAATGGGGTCCCTGGCTCACAATTACCGGTTTCGGCACTCACAACATCGAGAAATGCCTTAAATCGGAAATATTGAATTTCAAAATTGCAGCATTTTGATTCAGAGGGGCTAATGCTTAGGAATACCCCTCTGAATGTGTGACGTCAGCGCAAATATCTAACGATTTTAAAATGTTTGACTAAAACGTTTTGTAGCACGCGGTGGTATATGCTATTTGCGCGCAACATCTGCCGCAAACGCCGCACTTCTAAAATAAAGTCGCTAGAAACAGCGGAGATCCCAAAAAAGTAAACAAAAGTAAAAGTCCAATATCTTGAAAACCGGTGAATATTTTTCTGTGAAATTTGGTAGATATTCGTTTTCGCTCTTTCTGAACCGAGCGACATCACTTTCATGCCAATTCATAAACTTTTTTGAAGGTGGGAGGGTCCCTTTAATATCACTACCGAGACAGGCAAGTGCCATAACTAGCACTTACACCATCCACTCGCATTGTAATCCTAAACGATGAAACCAAAGCAATGAACTAATTTCGTTTCGCCGGCGCCTCCGGTAACCAATCCTCAGTCTTGGTCGCGGCGGCGGCAGCGGAGGCGACGACAGCTCAGAAAGAAAGTGAACACTAATTGAGTCAGCCTAATGAACAATGGCCGGGTGAAAGGCGACGGGCGAAAATAAGCACCGTGCCGGCGCCGATCACGTCACTCCGAATGAAATGTGGTGCTCGGCCGCGAGGGAGAGAGGCTGGACGGGCGAGGAGCGGCCAGCCGCGCCTGACCGCTGGGTACCCGGTAGAAATTCGGACGTGACACCTCTGGCTACGCCAACATTTTAATCTCCAACCAACTGACCACGCCCACATTCATATGGGACTTATATCCCGATAGGTTCTGACCGAATGAGCTCACTCCGCGTAACATGAACCTTAGTAGCGGATGCTATACCAGCAACTAAGCCAGGAAGCGTTTCAGAGAGGGATCGTTCACCTCTGATACTTAACACCGTCCTTCTATCATACACCACCGGCCCTGACCACCCAGCTCTGTATTCATAGGTTCCCGCGTCTCCGTCCGGCCTGCGGGCGACGATCAGAGGGCCAGCCGCGTTCGATTAAACGCGCCGGTCGCCCCGTGATCGATGAGCCAAAACAGCCGCACTGCAGTCATGGCCGCATCCGATGATGAATTTTGTAAGCCGTCATGCATATTGCATAATGATGTGTATGGGTGATAGCGGCAATATATTCTCGGGCGCCGCTTCTGTGAAGTTATTGAGCGGACAGGCGCGACGCGCCGGTGCCGTCAGAGCTAGTGGCGTCGTCTCAGAACGGCCCTGTGACAAATCAGAGGATTAAGCGAGCGGGACAGGCACGGCAGGGTATCTGACCACCAGAACCGCACCTATAGCCTTCCTCAGAAGCAGGCTGGAGAGCCTCCTCACTGCCTAGCATCAACTCGTCCTCAACGAACTCCAGCGCTGTTACCCATCCCACGCATCGCATGCCGAACGTACAACGCAAACAGATCCCTCCATCCCTGCCGTTCATTTTCCTCTCTTTTCTACCCAGTTTCATATTCATACCACTCCATCCCTCTCTATCTCCCTACCTCCCATCTCTACCCTCCCACCATCGCCATCTCGCCAGTTCTCCTCACCTGCAGCTCAAACGTCTGGTCGGTGTCCTGTTCACCATCGCTTGCACGCACAGTCAGCGAGTACTCGTCACGCGTCTCGCGATCGAGCGCCTTCAGCAGCACCAGCGCACCCGTCTCGGGCTGCAGACGGAACGTCTCGGCGTCTCCGTGCACCAGGCTGAACCGCACGCGGCCCAGAGTGTCGGCGTCAGAGGCGGTGAAGCGGACCACCTCGCTGCCCGGCGGCAGGTCTTCGGTGACAGCCAGGCCGCGCCGGGGAGAGGTAAACACGGGCGGTGAGTCGTTCTTGTCCTGCACGGTGATTACCACCTGAGAAAGAGCAGAGGGAGAAACGGAACGTCAGGCACACTGATTGGCGTCAAATGAAGACGAATAACACAGAAATGAACCGCAGATACTGGTATTCACCTGGAGACAAGCGCGAATGGGACAGTTCAGGACGTTGTGATGTCTGCTGGTTATGTAACAAGGTGAGGATAAGTGCTCATATACATAGAAGGCCGTGTTTTTCAGTAGGTGTAGTGGATGTCTTGAGCGTTAAAGTACATACATATGAGCTACAGGTGAGTTACACGGACGACAGCTGAGGATAAGCAGCGACTGTCCTGTTCTCCGCCAATGGCACACATGACATAACATCATACATATGTCAAATAAGCATGTCGTAAGTGTGATTGCGAGGCAAACCGTTAGTTTCTCAAAACAAAAACAAGGACGAGAACGCTTGCTGAGGACACCACCCACCGACGTCCGACAATCAGGAAAGGAAGAAATGAGAACGTTCAGGTAACTTGTTTTTGTTTATACACGCTTTCCCGAAGAGAACCTTGCGATGCCCATGTGGCTCGCTAAGTTTCCTAGTAAGAGATGTGGGAAGCTCAGCACTCCGAGGTCACAGAGCAGGGTCGGCAGGCGTTCACCCCGGCGGCGCGCCCGTTCCTCGGCCGCGCCGGTCGGCTGTGATGTCATGTCGACACCCGCGGCCTGATGCGTCATGCCAGTTGATGAGGCCGTGCACCAGTGCCAGGGCTCAATGGATGACCCGTCACGTACTGCTGTCACCTGCAGTACCGCACGAACGGCAGAGTTCCGTGCATAGGCCGGAGAGTCATCAGTGAGCTCATCCGAGTCTGCAGCAGTTCCTCATTGGGGTCAATTGCTGTGTGAGCGATCTCAAAATCGTTTAAAAGAAAAGCTCTTGGTGATTCGAAAGCTGGTGAGCATTTTTGTCGAGGAATACGAACAGCTTAGCATCCGCGAGTTCGCGCCTCTATGGACCATCCGTCGCTTTCTCTCCTCTCCAACTGACTGACAAATGACATCCTCTAACTGCTCAGTAATCAACAGACAACAGCACCGCTGCCGCCGCAGCAGGAGAGACGGTCGACCAGACAGCCGGCCGGTCCGGCCAGTGTGCAATGAGCATTGGACGATTATGGCCGTCTAATTTGGCAACACGCCGCATGAGATCCGGCCTGGCCCAGTGACCTTGTATCACCAGTGGTGGGGCGAAACCTCGACAGGGAAACCAACTGGAGAATGGCCGCGGTGTGGGGAGAGACGACGGTAGACGTGACAGGAAGGTTGGTGAAACAGAAAGGGGAGAGGAGAAACCGCAAAGGGAATAATTGGGGATAGAAACCCTATTCAGAAGAGGCCCGCTGAGGTGAGACAAAAAAGAAATTACATATTATCACACATATGAGGGCATGTGGAGAGGCAGGTAATCATATTAGATACAAGCAGACTGTCTATTTAGCTCAGCAGATACGTACAGACACATGAACAGAAAACTGAACAGACGGGCAGACACAGGCTCACAGACAGACAGACCCGGAGCCAGCAACCGGCGCCGCCCGACGTCATGACTAGCGGCGTTAGTCAGCAGACAGTGGACCCAGCGAGCCGGGGCGGACCCGGGCCCCAGCCATAGAGGTAGAGAGGGAGGGAGTGCAGGACAGGAAAGTGGCGTCCGGCCGACCACTGCAGCCGCTCGGGCCGGCCGGCGGCCTATCTGGCGATCTGTCGGCCCGCGCGGGCTCCCCGAGAGGAGAGCGGACGGCGCCGACACTGCCGGCCGACCCCCATTACGGCGGAGCTGAGGGGCTTCCGATGGGCAGGGAGAGAGGGAGAGGGAGAGGGAGAGAGAAAGAGAGGGAGAGAGAAAGAGAGGAGAGAGCGGGGGTAACTCAGCATGGTGACCGACAGACACCGATGGGGAAATATGGCGACGAAGGTGACTCTTGGTGACTGGCCCGAGTCGCAGGAATTGCCGGCCGCAATTCCGAGTGGCCGACTCCCATCACTGGGGAATATCTCACGATTGACAGCCTTGACAACCGGAAATAGCAAGCCACATCGAGCTTCTAGTGTCGAACACAATCACCTGAAGGTTGCGAATATCGCACCTTCCCACGCGTCACTCACAATATAATTACTGGGAACGCTCATCCAGGAATAACCGAGAAAGACACAAGGAAAGGAGCGGAAAGCCATCAGGAAAGCGGTGGCCGACCGGCGCCCACCCGTGACGTCAGGTCACGTGATCGCCGCCACCGCCGCCGCCGCGCCGCTCGCGTGGCATGGTGCAGCCTTCCCTGGAATTTGTTTATGTCCCGTCTACCGGCGGGCGGGGACCCACGGTCAGACGGCGGCGGCTGGGCACCTCCAGACCGACCCGACCAGCGATAGGCAGTCAGGGAAATGCCAGCCGGGTGTCAATGAGCCCGTCACTGGACAGACGGCGCGACGGTTCCGTGTTTTACGGGACGTGGCGTGCGAGCCATGAATGTGGCATTCGCGATTGGATCGGCGGGGCAGCTAGTGGTCGGACTGTCACACGGAGTGCCCTGTAAAGGCTCTTATGACAGGGGTTGTCCCATCAACGGGCTGTGCCTGACCTCGACTCTCGAAAAGGTTCGTTTGTCCTCCCAGCCTGACCGAGAAAACTCCCTCAAGTCACTTCATCTCTCCAGAAAATACCTGATCCTCTTCTCCTTGGCTAGACAGATAGGGATTCAGACTACATAGAGACGAAGACTCCAACCACATACATAGAGACCCTAACTACACGGAGGCGGGGGGTCGAGTGACGTCTCCCACCGACCGCCGTCCCAGGGTCGCCGCTGCGGCTCCGGCGGCGGGCAGGGAGCGGCGTCGGCCGGCGCCGGCCGGTCGCCGTCCGCCGCCGCCTCGCCGTCTCATATTTCACTGGCGGCAGCGCGACGTGCATGGCCGAGCGGCCGGTGCACGGCGCGCTCGGCCGGCGGGCGGCGGCGGCGGCGGCGGCGGCCTTCGCGCGGTAGCTCCGCCGCCGCCGCCGCCCGCGGCGACCGACCGGCAGCGGCGCTGTGGGACGCGCCGGCCGCCCCCTCACTCCACCGCCGCGGCAGATTCTTATCTGGGGTTTTTATCTCGGCAGGGAATTACGCTTCAGTTCGTTTCCCATGCGTGTCCGTCGGGGCGCCGGACGGCGCGGTGACGGCGCTATCACTGCGATCGCTCTGCTCTGTCGAACGGCTCAGCTCGGTCAGTCGGTCCAGAGCCCGCCGCCCACCCTCTGACGGCCAGCCGGCGCGCCGGTCCAGTGACCTGACCTGACATTCCGGCTGCGCCGACCGGCCGGCTCCAATTTGTATGCAAATGGAGGCACCGCGGCCGGGCGGACAACAGCCCGTCGTAATTGGGCGCGCGCTGCGGCGGCCTCCGCGGCGGCCAGCCAGCCGGCCGGCGGTAGAGCACCTGACGCCGAGACGCCCGCGGCCGGCGCACCTGACACCCGGGATCGCGGACACATGCCGCGCGCCCGCGACCCGACCGACCGACCGAGCGGCGGGCGGCACGCCCCCGACCAGCGGCACAGAGCGGCCCGAGCCGATCGGCCTCGCCGTCACGCGAACGGCGCCCGATTCCTCGATATATCGGTGAGTCACGAAATGGAATCATGACGCAGGCGGGCGGCTCCCGACTGAATCAGTGGACCGCTGATGTGCTACTCATTGCACTCGTCAAGCTGGAATCGGTGGTCAAGTGGTTCCCAGCTACTGTATCCGGTCTCAGAGGAGAAGTGACGGCTGACATCATGGCGGCAGAGGAGGGGAGGTAGAGAGAGCGTCCAAGGAGAGCGGGGGAGGAGGGAGGGAAGGAAGGAGAGAGAGACGGGCCATATCGCGCAGAGCCGGGCGCCGGTCAGGTGCCTGCTGCATGCCATCGCGAGCGGCAGGGGCGGCGGTAGGAGTGGAGTCAGGGGCGGCGTCAGGAGCGATTCCAGGGGCGGTGGCAGGGCCGGCCGGCCGGCTGGCTCCGGAGGCCGCTCGCTCTGTATGCGGCGCGGCCGAGCCCGGCACGTGGGGCGGGCGCGGCCGGTGCCCGCTCCGATAGCCATCGCTCCGGGTCCGGCCAGCAGGGACGCGCCCCGCCGCGCTCCGTCGTTCCACCTGTCGGGCCGAGCAGCCGACACGGCCAGGCCGCTCGTAAAGCGGCTCCTCGGGCCGGGCTGGGTCGGCAGCGGTGCTGTGTCGCTGCCGCCGACTCCGCCACCGACCGGCACACGGGGCAGTGAACCGTCCGAGACAGACCAGCCGACCAGCCGGCCGGACTCTTGGCCACGCTGCAGCCGGCGCCGATGCATGCCGAGAGGACAGGCATGTCGCTTAGCAGGCAGGACCGGGCCGGCCGACCGGTCGGCTAGCGTAGGCGATAGCCATCTGGCCAACAGCCGGCAAGTACACTGCAGAAACGCTGTTGCATCAGCAACTTAGGGCTCGACATGGAATACGTGCAATTTATTATTGCTCTTCATACATTCAGTACGGGAGATAGGTGCCTGGCAGTGATGGAGAGGCACCTCCACTGTTGCTATTCTAGGGTTATTTAAGGAACGTTAATGAGATGGCCATAGAATTGCTCTTGAAAGTAGAGCGTGTATGCACTCCAATCATAACCAGACCGCATGTGTTGTGCGAGCGTCATAGACATCCACAGTGACGTAGCCTACGAGCCTTATCGCAATGTTATAAAAGCCGCAGAGGTCAGCGTAGCCTCAAATCCCTGTAGCATGTGTGCTCTCTAAATTTTCGCCTTTTTATCCGCGGCGACCCACCCAGCCGTCAGACTTAGCACGCCAGAGAAGATCCGGGTTCAGGAACTGGAATCGTCCGCCGGCCGGCCGGCAGATTAGTCTCTCGGCGTGAGCGGCGCTGTGGAGCTGTCGAGTCGCATTACCGGCGACACGGCGCCGTCGGGAGGCTCCTCCCCGCCGCGCTCTAATCCGCTATCATTGAGTGCGCGCTGCAGCGATGGTATCAGCC